TAATTAAAATAAATATTAAATATATTATATATTTTACTTATTTTTAAGACGTTAAAACATAAAAAAACCTACAACTGCAATTATAGTAAATCTGACAAACAAGTCGAATCGAGTGGACTTAAATTGTGTTGTCTTGGATCTCAAGTTTTTTTTGATTGAGTCATTTAAGGTGTCAGGTTAAAGGGGTAAACCTATAACTCATCTATACATGTTTCGAATTAAGTCAATTGGACTCAATTTTAAAAAAAATAAATAAAATTAAAATTAAAATTTTTTACATTTTTCTCTATTTTTATAAAAAAAGTATAATGCTAATAAACTATTTAGTTAAAAAACTTTATTAAACACTAATTTTCATTTCATAATTCAATTTTCTTTCCAATCTCATGAAAAGAGAAGGGCAATAATACTAATTATATAAGTGAAACTATAGTATATGTCAAATATATAATGCCTATACAATATTTAAAATTCATAATTTTGTAAGGCATTAATCTTCATTAAAAGAAGAAACATGAAGGATTAGAGTTCTAAAAGACAAATCCAACATATTTATTAATATTTAGTGCCTATTCAATATTTATAAAAGTATTATATAAAAAATATAGTTTTATTCAATATTTAGAAGGGTATTATACAAAAATTACAACCCTTTTCAATATTAAAGTTCAAAAGGCAAATAAAAAATATATCTAAATAAAACAAGAAGAAATTGGATTGGGATTGAATTTTATTAATTAGGAACAAATTATTAATTAAGAATAAATTAGCAACTAAGAACTAACCTTGATGTTCTTGTCTTTGTGCTTCTAATGGTGATAAGGGTACCTCAAACACTGGATTTTGAATTTTAGTATGCATTCTTGCTTCTTATTGTTAAAAAAACAAACAAACAAACAAAAAAGATCTTTTTGACGGTGTTGTGTGATGTAGTGCATTATGTGCCACCTAATCCAATTTTTAACGCGAGTTCCACCAAAGAGAAGGACCAAAGAGCTTGAGATGAAGAAGGGGAGAGGGAGAGTGGAGAAGAGGAAAAGTTGAGAACAAGTGAGACTAATAGGAGGTTAGGATTTGAGTATTTTATTTATTTCTACTTTTAAGATTAGAAAATTAGAAATTTAAAATTAATTTTTAAGTAATCTTATAAAAAAATAAATTAAAAAAAATTCAACTCATTTCGGATGATCTAACCCACCTGTAACTCGACCCATTTGGATTCAAGTAATTTTAATATGAATCATTTCAGATTTTAAGTTAACATAAAACCTATGACCTTACTTATAATAGATGAGTTGGATCAAATTTTCAGATTGAATCCAACTCTACCAAGTCTAATTATAGGTGAGAATTGCCGAACTAAACTTTTGTTGACTAAGACCTTAACTCAAGCTTTCATCTCTTAATTGAATGGACATGATTTTCCATCTCTTAAGCTTTAATCTCTTAATCAAATAGACATGATTTTCCCTCCTTGAAAATGCATTTTATCACTTAATTTTAGTCATTGTCCGAATTAATCATATGGACCTCTCCTTGTTGATTTAATCATAATATTTCAAGGATTAAGTTTTTTTTTTCTTTTTATTGTTAAGTTCATTAGTTCAAAACTTGCCACAACTTGTGTACCTCCAACACTAGTAACCCATTTTAAGTGAGGAGTTAAAATTATAAGGGGGGAATGAAGGACTCAATTGTAAGAGTCTCATGTTTCTCAGTACTAAATAACTAAAATACCATTAATAAATTAACATAAAAAAATTTATTAGTAATATTTGAATCGATTCATGGGTCAAATTACATTTTTATTGTGGAGTATGATATGAAAATACTTTCTTTTTTGAAGATAAAAAGTATTAAAAACATTGAGGGTTAAAATAGTAAAAATCCTAAGTATAGGCTTCCCTGCAACCAGGAAAAGGTATGGAAGGAACACGTTGACTCAGCTCGATCCAACCAAGGACAGTAAGAAAATTACATTTCCACCGAAACCCTCGTGTACATTTCCACCGAAACCCTCGTGCACTCGCCTCGGCGTGAACAGTGGCATCGAAGTCATTGCCGCCTTTTAGGAACAAAAGAAAATATCTTGAATTTTCCAACACCTTCCCATAGACATTATCTACAAATACAATATTGTCACTTTCTTACTTAAAAAATGATTTTGAAATAATTTTTTTATATTATTTTTTTAATATAATTTAATATAGCATTTAAATAATTATATTTTTTTAATCATATAAAATTTATGATATTAAATATATCCACTCAACATATAAAAATTATTTTAAAAAATTATTCTTGCACCACGACCCTTTTTTTACGTAATAATTTTGTCTATTGGGCTTAAACAACACGGTCATTGACTAAGAGCTCTTGTTAATTTATTGGAAAAACCCAAAAACCAACTTCTAATCTTACAACCCTTCAACAATTAAGCCTCTTGAGTTCAATACTTATCAATTTGGCCCTGCAATTTTTTTTTTTTAACATGTTTGATAGCCATTGTCTATTTTTAAATTTTTAACATGGTACGTAAGTTAAAAATACATTAATTACATATTTTTTTATTAATTATTATAAAAAATAAAAATTAACTTTAATTTTATCAACTATTTTGTTAAAATAGTGCATGTACCATTAATATTGAAATTAAATTAATTTTTATATTTTTTATATAAATTAATAAAAAAAATGTAATTAATATACTTTTTAACATCCAAGTTAGATAAACTCAAATTTAGTAGTCAATTCAATATAGCTTGAGTAGTTAGGTCTCTCGTCAAACTGTTCAAATTAACTTGAGGGGCTTGATTGTGAAAATTTTAAGGTTAGGGGTTTAGTTTTGTGCATTGACTTTGACCCTTTCTTTAGTCTTAGTCTGCCACTTTTCTTTATTCTAAAGCAAGGGATATCCAATTTCAGACAGTTTAAAACCCCCCAACAAACAGCGAAACCTAAATACTAATTCCATTTCTTCATCTTCTTCCCTAATTTCTCTTCCAAGAGGAAAATCCTGATTAATCACCATGGACATGGAACAAGAAGAGATTCAGTTCCTCGGGCTCTTCGGCATCTACAAAGAATCCTACAAGCTCATCTTCTCATTTTGGAAGATCTTCACCAAGATCACCCTCACCCTCATCCTCCCTCTCTCCTTCATTTACCTCGCTCACATGGAGGTCTCTGACTTCCTCAAGAGGAGGATCTGGCTAACAGAAGTAAGGCTCGACAACACCCAAGTTGGCACCTCCGGCTACCATAAGCTTTCCGACCTTCTCTCCACCGAACGGGATTACTTGATCCTCTTCAAAGTCGTTTACTTCATTTTCTACTTCATCCTCTCCCTCCTCTCCACCTCTGCAGTTGTGTACACTGTTGCCTGCATCTATACCACACGTAATCTTACCTTCCGAAATGTCATGAGCGTTGTCCCCAAGGTCTGGAAGCGGTTGATGATCACTTTCCTCTATACCTTTGTTGCCATGTTTGCTTACACTGCAACAACAATTTCAGTTATTGTTTCTATTGCTTATTTCTTGGAGGACATTGCTGGACCACTACTCTTTCTCACTCTAATCCTGTACCTCATTGGGCTCATCTACCTGACCGCAGTCTGGAACCTGGCTTGCGTGATATCAGTTTTGGAAGAGTCATACGGTTTACAAGCCATGATAAAGAGCAGAACGTTGATCAAAGGGAAGATTCTTATCGCCATGGCTATTTGTGTCATGCTCAATCTCCCCCTTTTCTTCGTTCAATCTATGTTTCAAAGGCTGGTGGTGCACGGAGATTGGCGTTCAGTTGAGATGGTGAACAGGGTATGTTATGCAATCCTCTGTTTCTTGGTCCTTTCTATGTTGAATTTGTTTGGGCTGGTGATCCAGACAGTTATTTACTTCGTCTGCAAATCTTACCACCATGAAAATATTGATAAGATAGCACTGTCGAATCACCTGGAGGTTTATTTGTTAGCAGAGTATGTTCCATTGAAGTCCAAAGACGTTCAACTTGAGGAATATCGTGTTTGATTGACATTGATGTCAATATGAACTTATACAATAACAATTAATGTATTGCACTTTAATTCTTAAGGACTATCATGTTTGATTGACGTTGCACTTTAATGCTCTGTTCTAATGATATGATCAGTTAAAGATTGATCAACCCATTAGACATGATTAGAAAGGGTTGTTCATTCCCGTAAATTTATGCCCTTTCAAGTTAGAATGTTTATGGGTTTATGGTACCCTTATACTTGGTTTTTTAATAAATATTACTTTTTGTTGTTAAAAAAAAAAACCATTAGACATGATTTATACCTAATCTATTTACGATATTATTTGTATACCAAATACCACCCACCATATGTAAAGTTTGGATGTTTGAAGTGTCCTAAAAGCTCAAATTGTCATGGGCCCCATTTTCCACACAGTGGAATGGAGCAGCTTACTAGATAGACACCCCCAACTCATAGTCTTTATTTTTGAAAATTTGACATATAAGTTTTAATACAAAATTTATATCTAATTTAAAACTAATTGATAATACATAAAAATCTTTGCCCAGTTTTTATCCATTTTATACACAAATAGCCTTGTAGACTTGTAGTCATCAACAACAAAATTAATGCTGATAGAAGGTGAAAACTTCCTGGCCAGTCTCCATTTTTTGGGTGCGGAAATCTTTTCTTTCCCTTAATTCACAGGTACCAAACTACAAGGTTATTCTTCTCACACATGGATCAATTGAAGAAGCATATGATGCCAATGAATTGCACTCAAAAGAAAATCTGAAGGCTAGAGGAGATTTTATATTCGCTGCCTGAAGAAACCCTTCAATATAGGTTAAAATGATTGTTGATTCTTAGTGAAGAAAATGTCAATTTTGGACCGGTAAGGAAAATGATGAAATCCTTATGACTCTGGACTCAAGTTCTTGTGATTCATTTGTCGGAGTAATTCTAGTTAGGATTCACTAAATTTTTCTACAACAAATCCTATTTTATTTAAGATTTAGTGTATTTTTCAAAAGAAAAGTATTTATCTAAAAAATCAAGAGAGAAAACATTCAAAAACTATATTAAATTTTTTTTTAAAACCAACAAGAGATGTTATTGGTGGAAGCTATATGGTAATGAAATGCTTCTAATGTCAACGATTATCTTTTCATTTTTATTATAATTATATTTTCATTTTTTTGGAGAAGTAGATTATGTTAACTAACGGGTTAAATTTAAAATTGAATTTAATTACAATATTCATATAACTATTAGATTACTTTGTTATTTTAAAAATGTTTTTTGAAGTCAGGATGGGATGCAGTTTGGCTTCCACTAATGTGGATAGTTTGGCTTACTAGGAATGGAGACAGAGAAGAACTTGATGCAGTAAGAATGTTTGATCTTATCCAAGTAAAAGCGTTTCTCTGGTTAAAACTTAGAGGAAAGGATGCACAATATTGCTTCTCAGATTGGGAACTTAATCTTGGACGACTATGCAAATGTGTTGGTTGAGTTTTGTTGTGCCTAATATTTGGATTTGTATATGTGACTAAACTAACCATGTGTTGAGTACCTCATGTACTCACATTGTAATAATATTTACTTGTCTTTTTTTTTTTAAAAAAAAAGTCACATCTTTATGTAATTTAAAATAAATTGGTAAACATTAAGTAATATGGATACCTCTAGCTTAAGAAGGGAGAGTTTCTTATTTTCTTTTCTTTTTCTGATATCATATGTGATACTAATTATCTCTTGATTTCATTGACTAACACATGATTTATATTGTTATTAATCTAATTCATGCAATTTATTATCAAGTTCAAGTATAAATCATATAAATGATCAAAAGATAATCAAACTTCTAAAACATTAAGTTCAACAATAAAAACCTTTCATATAAATAACTTTAATTGAAAGTATAAAAATCACTAAATTTCAAACAACTTCTCTCTTAAAAATTTGAAAATAGACTTGTTATGATATCTACAAACATACTCACAAATGCACTGAAAAGCAAAATGCAATTTCTTACTTTTAGAAAACAATTGCTTCACTCAATTTTCTACTGCCTCAGTATGCCATCTCGACTGCGCTCAATAGTCTACTACTCCATTAATGCAGCAAGTACAAGCAGCCATTTCATCAAGTGCCTTCACAACAAAAACCGATTCCTTTATTTTGTATATATATATATATATATATATATGCACTTATAGAATTGTAAGTTAAGTTGAAGAAATACAATCAACTTCTTATATTTTTCATTAAAATTATCATGGTATCAAAGCCTTAAGGTGTTGGATTTCTCTGCACAACTATTTTTTCTATTTTGAATTTCTGGATTACAATCCAAAATCCACCTCTTGTTTTGCTTACTACCCCTTTCTCCAGTAAACTTTCCAGTTTTCTCCATTATTTCCAGTCATCTCTTCTGACAATGGTTGTAGCACCATTGTTGGTTTTCTTCAAGCAAAGGAACCTCTTTCTTTCCTTTAGTCTCCAGCTTCAAAACTGTGACTTTAGTTGCTCCTCCCTTGATTGGACAATAGATTCCTCTGATTCGGCTACAATCGACTCTGCTTCTTGAACGGACGATCCACGTGCCACTTCAATTCTTTACTTTTCTATCCCAATCTAGCTCACTTGATCCGATTTGCCTTTTCTTTATTGGATTTATTCTTTTGTTTTTCACCATCATGAAGAAATCTGATATTACACAGCTTATCTCTACCATTCTTAATTGTTCAAATTACATGCTTTGGGTTCAGGGCATGTGCAGTTTTTTAGAAGGACAGAAACTATGGTGATATGTTACTGATGATATCAAGCTTCCTACAAAAGTTGTTGAAGAACCTGTTAACAAATTTGCTGATCGTTTAGAGGACTGGGATAGCAAAAATCGCCAAAATATCTTGATCTCCAATTGCAATTGAAGCCACATGGGAAGATCTTGAGTGGGCTAATGGAGGATAATGATCTATCATTAACAACAAGTTACAACAGATGGTGGTTGAAGATGTAGTTCAAGAGTAAATTTATAATTTTAACTTTTATAATTAAAATACAACAGAAGTAAAAGTCAAGAAAAATTGATATTTAAAATATCATTCTTTTTAATAAAATTATTTAAATATTTTAAATAATTTTTTATATATTAATTTATTAAAAATATTTAAATAATTTTTAATATTTTAATATTAAAATGCATTAACTTTTTTAACCCTTTAAAATATATTACTTTTTTTTGAACAATTTATAATTATTTACAAGGTTAATTAGGGAAAGGAGGAAAAGAATTTCGTGGGATTCAAACGTGCAACCCACCGGAGATGAATAACCCCTAACTCAAGGTTCAATATTACTAGACCGAAATGGACCAATCTTTAAAATATATTACTTTTTTTTTGAATAATTTGTAATTATTTACAATGTTAATTAGGGGAGGGAGGAAAGGAATTCCGTGGGACTCAAATGTGCAATCGACCGAAGATAAATAACCCTAACTCAAGGTTTAATATTACTAGACCGAAATGGACCATTCTTTAAAATATATTACTTACTAGAATTATAAGTCGTATTTAATATTTGTACATGAGGTACCACGTCATTATTTTTAACACCTTGTAATTTCCATATCATTTACATAAAGAATAAAACTGCCGATTCCGTTGATTGACTAAAAAGTAAAAACGGTGAAAAAATAAATTTTGAGAACTAAAAAGGGTTTTTTAAAAACAAGGACAAAAAATGATTTTTCTCTAAAATAAAAGGACCAAATTGAAATTTTAACCTTTTTCAAAAACAGTGAATTGGAGCAGGTTACTGGACAAAGACACCCCCGACCCACACTCTTTATTTGCCAAAATTGAGAATGCGTATTTCAACGTGTTAAAACTTTATTTTGGTTTTCTTATTTTAATAAAAAATTTATATTTAATTATTTACTTTAAATTTTTTATTTTTGTTTTTAAATTTTATTATTCAAGTCTTTTTCAATTTTTTCATGATAGTTTTGTATACATAATATGTTAAATGATAAAATTTTAAAATAAAAAGATTCAAAAAAAATTTTGTTTTTAAAGTTGAGATACTAAAAAGGATTTGCTGCGCCCTTTTTAGTCTCCCTATTTAAAAATTTTTGCATTTAATATACTACATGGCAAAACGATAATAGATGACTAAAAAATAGTTAAATAATAAATTTTAGGGAGCAAAAAGAGGGTTTTTAAATAAAAAAAATTAAAATTTTTTTGTTAAAATAAAAGAACTAAAATAAGATTTTAACCATTTTAATACTATTTAAATTTAATCTAAAATTAATTAGCAATATATAAATCTTTACCCTCTTATTATCATTTTATAAACAAATAGCCTTGTAGTCATCAACAGCAGAATTAATGTCGATGGAGGGCGCAAGCTTCCTGGCCAATCTCCATTTTTTTGCTGTCGAAATTTTTAATTAATGTTGAGGGAGGGCGAAAGCTTCCTGGCCAATCTCCATTTTTTGGCTGTGGAAATTTTTTTTTTTCTTTTCCTTAATTGACAGGTATCAAATTGATTGGCAATATGTAAATCTTTACCCTGTTATTATCCATTTTATAGAAAAACGGGCTTGTACTCATCAACAGCAGAATTAATGTTGATGGAGGACGAAAGCTTTCTGGGCCCCTGGCCAATCTCCATTTTTTGGCTGTGGAAATCTTTTCTCTTGCTTAATTGACAGGTACCAAACTACAAGGTACCAATCTTTTCTTTTACTTTTCATACAAGGAGTAATTGAAGAAGCATATGATGCCAGTGAATTGAACTCAAAAGAAAATTTGAAGGCTAGAGGTGACTTAATTTTTGCTGCCTGAAGAAACGTTTCAGTATGGCGTTAAAATGATTGTTGATTCTGAGTGAAGAAAACGCTGACTTTGGACCATTAAGGATAATGATGAAATCCTTGTAACTCTGGACTCAAGTCCTTGTGATTCATTAGTATGAGTAATTCTAATTAGGATTCATGGAATTTTTTTACAATGAATCCTATTTTGGTTAAAATTTAGTGTATTTGTCAAAAAATATATATATATTTATCGGCTAGATCACTAAAAAATTCCTAAGAAAAACATGGCAAGACCTTTTTTTTTTTTTATTCTTTTTTACCAACAAGAGAGGTGGTTTGTGGAAGTGATATTGTCATGAAATGCTTCTAATATCAACAATTATCTTTTCATTTTTTATAATTACATTTTCATTTTCTGGAGAAGTAGATTACGTTAGCTCAAGTGTCAAATTTAAAATGAATTCAATTATAATTTTCATGTAACTTAGATTACTTTGTTATTTGATGTTTTAGATTTTCTCATGAATTATTTAATTCTGATATAAATAACTTATATTTGATGAATTGGAAGAGATTAATTTCGACATATATATAAAAATTAATTTAGAATTATTTTGACCAGTAAACTCGACAAAATTTTTATATTTTTACATTTTTTTTATAATTAGTTGTACAACGAAAGGCAAATTTTTTTTATTATTTATCTCACCTCACTTACATATCATGCGACTCGAATTTAAAATTTTTTGCTTCCAACGGAAGGAAATTATCATTGAATTATTTAATTTATTTTTTTTTATATTTAAAATTAACCACAAGTTGAAGTTTCTTGAGGTTAACCATGGAGATTAAATTATTTTACATTGTTTGAATTCTGGAGATTAATCAAATCCTCCTCCTTGCTAAATAGTCATCTTACACAATGTGTGCTATTTCATATCTACTTATCGATCATTTTCTGATTAGGAACAAATTGACTAGACTCTTAAAGGTTATATTATTGGACTTATGTTGTACTTGCTTTTGATGATAGTGGTATCCTTTAGCTCACCCTCATAATAAAAATTATATATAACTTATAGGATTAGTATTTGTAAAATTAATTTTAAAAACATTAGAACAAAAAATATTTTAAAATTATATTGGTTTAATTAAAATATTATACAAAAAGATCAAAATAAATTTATTTTTTATTTTAAAATATATTATTTTAATTTTTTTTCAATTAAAATGACTGAAATCATGCAATTTTGAGATTTTTCCTTTAAATTTT